ATACAAACACTCCTTTTCTTCAAGGATAAAAAACTCTAGGTGCACGCGTTGCACCTAGACGACACAACAGGCCAAGGTAATGGGAGTCCCAGCCAGCAAGAGGCCTGGCTGCTGCGGAGCTGCCGGGGGGGATAACACCCCTTTTCCAGCCCTTCATAAAATGGAGGCCCCTGCCCTCACCCAGCTGTGGGACAGGACAGCATCCCATAGGGACCGCACCAGTGCGGAGACACGCAGCCCTTGCTGTAACCCAAGGCAGGCCTGCTGAGCCAGGAGGCACAAGTCCCTCCAGATCTCGGGCAACGAGGGAGAAGCGGCCGTCGGTCTTTCCCCGCACAGGACAGCGCGCTGCTCTCCTCTTTGGAGTGCCGGGTAGGCAGTACGTGGCACCATGCTGCCAGCCAGGCCAGGTGGCAGAGAGCCACCTGCCACTCCCTCCAAAACCCATTTTTTCCCCCCCCAAATTCCTGCCCCGGCTGCAGGAGCACCGATTCGGGGCACCCAGCCAGCACAGAGCAGAAGCCAGGGCTGCATGATACCACAAACGAAGGAAAGCACCAACGTTGTTGTGGTTGAGGCTGCAGCCCTCCAGCTACCGGTGCACATCCCAGCGCAGCAGCCAGGAGCCAGCAAGGGGTTGTAGCAGTAGGCCAGAGCCACCGAGAGGAAATGCAGACACAGCACTACAGACCATGAATTTATAAAGCCAGTGAAATTCAGACACCAAGCGGATGAAAGGGCCTTGACCCAGTATCAGTATTTCCAAGCAGTGGCAGCTCCAGAAACAGCAGAGCTGCTGCAGTGCAAGACCTTGTGGCAGAGCCATTGACCATCATCCTGTGGCTGGAAACACTATAGTCTCGGTTCACTGCAGACATCCTGTGTGAAACTCAGCTTGCCCGACTCCACTGCATCTCATTTCATGACCAGAAAGTAATTTTCTGCAAGCTCGCCCTGCAAGTATACTGTTACTTAGCAGGGATGAAGCTGGCAGGGTAGGGTCCTCAAAGCAGGTGAGAGGCTTAATTCATTAAGATCTACAAGTATCTCCAAGATCACAGGCCACAAAAAGGATTGCACAGCCCTTCCAAACCACGAGCCTGCACCCTTCTCAGAGCTCAAGCCAAAAGTCAGAGGCAGGGCATGCAAACAAGGGACCCCTCAGGTTCCAAAACTGCCCCCCTTGTAGACAAGCCAGCTTTCTATCAGGACTCTTCCTCCCAGGAGAAGTGCAGCCCGGCACCCCTGCAGTTTGCATTCGTTCCAGTAAGGGCAACCTCATCAATACATTAAGAAGCTACTCACCGCCCTGCATGTATGATTGCTGAGACTAATACCAAGATGATTAAAGCAATCAAGTGGAGCTTCTTGGGGAGGGGATAAAAACTCTCTCCCATCACTAGGCATTAAGAACAGATCAGATGCAAAAATGGAGCAGTTGCACACACCACTTGCTCAGCCTCCACCAACTACCAATGCAAGCAGATTACAAACCATCTTCTCACAGGCACAAGTTTCTCTCCTCACTCCTGATCAGCACTACCTGGTCTTTTGCAGGGTGCCACACACCCAACAGCACAAGCCAATTCAAAAAGCTGTACCATCATTTAAGGAACAACTCTCCCCTCACATTCCTACTCTGACCCGGAAATTACCATCACAACCTTAGCAACCCACAACCACTTTGTAGCAAACAAACCTGCTCCTGACCTTCATTTGCCCACCTGAGTTATCTTGGCCTTAAGAAGGACAGGGTGGTCCTCAAACTGCCCTCTGACCCAGACGTCCCAGGCATAGCCAGCAAGAGATACTCAGTCACAGGGGACACCAGGCCCTTCTGCCCTTGAAGAAGTTAATCACTGCGACAGGGAGTTTGCTGCCAGGCAGCGCTGGAGGAATGCGGTACAACTCTTACAGCACCCTCTGCCCATCAGCACCTAGGAACTAACATCAAATGATTCAGCCAAGCAGATTTCAAAGCATTTGTCCTCCTACCCAGCTTCAGCACATGCCACACCAAGTCAGCTTCGTGCTTCGGCACGGATGAAGAAGCTGTGGGTGATGCTCTCCAGGGTGCTCCGACAGGCAGCACGCTGGCACACTGGAGCCCTGGCATGCCTCTCACCCGATGCTTTGTCACTCACTGTGGGTATCACCAGTAAAAGTAACATGCTTTGGACCTGGGAAGACAGGGAAGGAAATCAAGTCCAGCGTGTGCTTTGCCACCTCTTAACACCAAAGAGATCTGCAGGCTGTTTAGACTAATGTAAGCTGGTCATGCTGCTGTAACAAGAAGTTCTGCCCTCTCCCTGCCCCTTCATTTCTACCTCAAGCGCTTGTGCAAGTACGAGATGAACCACACCAAGGAACCGCAGACAAACCCAGCATAACCAGATTATTCTGTAGCTCGATCTGCTCCCCCATCCAAACAAAGCCTGGCAGCAGCACGAGGTAAACAGGAGAAGGGAGAGAAAGAAATTGCCCCTTTTGCACTTACGCCAAACTAAACATTGCAGAAGAGAGATGAAAAGCCTGAAAAGCCTGCATCTTAGTTGACAAGCGCCTTCGCAAGACAGCCCTACTCAGTACGCTTTCAACTTCTCCGTGCGCAGAATTTTTCCTTTCCACCGCACGTAAAGAACAAGCGTACATATCACCAACAGCCAGGACGGCAACAACGCCAGCCCAACCATCTCACCCCAGCGTGCAGAGGGGTATGAATCAACGCCGGCTTCAGCGGTCAGCTCAGATTAACGCTGCCTGGAGGGAGGAGCGAATCAAGCTCGAAGTCTGCCACAGCCGACAGCGTTAAAGACATTGTGATCAGTAATGCAAGCGCAGCGGTGAGAAGCCTTGGAGCATCAGCAGGCAGCAACATTTTATTTGCTGGCTGGAGAAAAAAAAAGACTTGGGTCAGGCAGAGCTGCTTGGAGCTTCTACCGAGGAACGTGCAAGACAAAAGCCTCTGGAAGCCTTCTGTGTGCTAGAAATGAAACGTCGGAGTCTGAAATCCCTTATTACGTTTTCAGGAGCGAGGCTATGTTTTAGGAAACGCCTGTGTCCCAGACAGCTGAGCAAAACGTGCTCGCACAAAGCGCCTTGCTCGGTCCCTGAAGATTCCTTCAAGTCTTGTCTTCCCGCTTTCTCCTCCCCAAGACGGAACAATCGTTTTCGCTCTACTCGTTTCCCCAGGCACCGACTCCAGCTCCTCGGCACCCCGCGGCACGCACCCCTGTGCCCGCTTTGCGCGTTGCCCAGGGCCGG